TTCAGAAGTGTAATTATGAGCCCTAAGGGTCTGACTCTAGGAAGCATGATCTAATAGTACTCAGAGAAAAGTGATCATCATCAACTTGAGAAAACCACAATCCTCCCCTTTCCAGAGGAAAGTGGGCTTGTTCACCAGTGTTTGAGGGCTCTGAAAGGGATTCCACAGCTTCCTCCATTTTGGGTTTCCCCATTATTCTGGAACAGTGCTTAATGAATATGACTGAGCAGTACTTAAGTAAACAGTTAAAGCCAAAAAGAGCATCAAATTGCATCACTGTTGCAGAAAGCATTTTAATAAGCTAGAATTATTTTTCCTCTCTCATTGGGTGAACTAAACCAAAAGGCACTTCTGTAAGGCTAATGTTTCAGAATTAGTTGGAAAAGTGTAGTGAAGCTGTAGTATAAGCATTTAAATTATGTTAAAAAGTGTTCTATAGAACAGAATAAATGTTCTATAGAATATATATTTTTCCTCTTCTTTCATATTTCCTTTTTCCCTTCATTTTAGGATTACATTATAGTAGTTCTTATATACAGTTATATTAGTTCCTATATTACTATTACTGCTGTGGGATTTGAATGTCCATTTAGAAAAGCCCACCTGTAACATGGGTGATTATGATAATCATTTTGCAAATTTGCAGCTTGGGGACCAGTACATTTAAATAGCTTGTTAAAACATCATTAGGCAGGAAACTGGAAATTAAGCATAGGTTTTCTAGGTGGTTTCTATAAACCAAGGCTGTCTTTCCTTTGACTATTATATTAATACATGGTAATAATACTGGATGAATGGTAGGTATGGAGGTTTTGCATAAAATCTCAGTAAATAAGGTTTTGTTGTTTCGGCACAGGTTGTAAATACTTTCATTAATGAGTTTCAAGACATTTTCATAAAAATATAGAGATTCTCTTGTGTCCTGCTCAAAGTGCCCTATACACCACTGGTATTCTCAGAGAATTACCAGGAAACCATAAGATTTCTTTGTCCTGCTTCTGAAGCTGAGCAGTACAAGTGGAAAATTTTCTGCTGTTAGACGCAAAACTGAAAAGACTGAAGGGTATAATTGCATGCCTTTTACTGACAGGCTGAGATTTTACAGCTAGAACAGTTTGATGAGAGAAAGTTTCAGTTGAAGTAGAAACAGAGAGATTTTCAAAGAAGTTGACTTATTTTTGGAGCCAACATCTATGGCTGATTTTCATATTTGAACTCTTCTGGCTCACAATGTGTTAGAGCTGTCTATCCATTGCTGAAATTTACAACAGCTGGATAAGAGCTCATAAGCCACTCGGGAAAATAAATGTTACCCTTTCGTTACTTGACATCCTGCAGTGTATGTGAGAGTGGCAGAGAAGCTCTTGGCAAGTGTGTAGGCTTTGTCAGTTTACACCATCCGAGTTCCTCCTGCTCAGACTTCATTGAGAGGATTCTTCTTTTGGCAGCTATTGTCAAATTCTGGCTTCTTCAGACATATCAAACAGCAAAAAGGGGCCATCACTTGGAGAGAAAATATGAGCCACATTCTTTATCGAAGAAGAAGGCACATTGTTTACGTTTCCCGAGTAAAAACTCATGAAACTGAGAAGTTACACATGCACTATTCTATATTTTTAGAAATATGCTAATTCAGGAATATGTTAATAGAAGCTTTTTTTGGACAGTGGAAAATTAAAAGAAAAATAACATATGGAGGCAAGCCATCAGTGTAATGTGCCAGACATCTGAAAGGATGTCACAACTCATTTTATCATTCTGGACAAACACAGAATAAAATAAAAAAAAGATAGCCCCTTGTGCACCACAAGACTACTTCCTCAATCTTGAACACTGATTTTCAAGTTTCTGCACTCACAGTGCATTGACAGTGGTAGATTCACAGAATGTTTTTTCTTCAAAATCCTTTCTGCACTACAGACAGCATTCTGCTTTGCGGGGGTACAAATACAGGGTACAAATACAATCGGTTCAGGGGGAGAAAGAAGGAATTTTAAAAGCAGTACTGTATGTGTAACAAACCTGAATAAATATCCTGTGTGTTCCTATTCTTTGGAATTAGGGAACTATAAAAATATGAAATGAAATAAATTTTGACATTCTCAAAGCATTTCAGCATTTCACTACATTTATTTTCTATATCTCTAGTGACAAATCTTTAGCTGTGGTTTGCTCCATGTTTGTTTTGATATATTATCTTTCAGATCACAGTATAGTAGCATACAGTTAAGAAAAAACCCAAATCGGTCATTTACATATTAGACTGAAAACTCAGATGTAGAATTATATTCTATGTACAATCATTGCGTTGACTTCTGATCCTGTACACGCAAGAAAAAGAGTACATTTATAAAATGATCTTAGAGAGTCATGCAGGAAAAGTCTGTTTTGCAGAGTTTTATAGGATCTAAGACTTGTAATAACTTTCAGAACATCCTCCCTTTCAATTGGTTTGAAGAAGGAGATTTAAGTGGGATTTTCCTGATCCATGGCAAAGAATGCGCAGCATTAAATTCCATATGTATCCCAACATTGATTGACAGGTCAAGCTGTTTCCTTTTGAGGCAATCTATTAAACACTGAAATTCCAAGTGAGCTGAGAAAACTTTTTTTTTTCCAATACGTGCACAAAATTTTGTATTTCTACACCATATCTTCAAGAGTGCCTGAAGTTTCATAGATAATATGTAGGGGCTCTGGAAAAGAAATTTAAGATTAGGATTCTATTGTTCTAGGAATAAAGGAAAATAAAACAAATATATATGATATTGTAGCAGCACCTAAATGTTGGTAAATTTAATTGAATCTTATCTGATTTAATTGAATCTTATCTGAACACATTTCACACTAAAACTTTCTCAAGCTGATACCTGAGATCCATTATCCAGCTCTAAGTGAGAAAACAGTTCAACTGAAAAAAATTGAAACAATCTGTGCAGGGGTGTTATTACCAGCTTCAGTATAATTTTTTTTTTTGGCTTGCAGGGAAGAAAACACTAAATTGCTGCTATTTGTGATATCAAATGGCTATATTAGGCAAACTGTTTTTTGAGGAAAAGTGATTTAAAGTCCCTTAGACTGGAGTTAACTTTATGCAGCCGTTACTGAATTTGAGAAACAGATATGCTACTCCTGTCCCTCAACATTGAGTTTGATTTAATTACCTGCTACTTAGTATCTATCCTTTTGAGAATGGGAATTTCACTTAATTTTAGGCATCTAACCTATGGCAATGCCTAGAAAATTACCTTAATTTATTTATATAACAATTAAAGGGAGTGAGAGGTCTCCAGAGATGATTCAGACTCTTTCAGGTCTGACCTATCTTAGAATCTTTCTTGCTCTTTGCTGTAAAGAAATCCCAGGTTTCATAGTTGTCCAACACAGCCAACTCAGTTACATTCCTGACTTCAGTGGAGTAAATAAAGGCTTTAGCATTTGCAGTCTTGCATCTGCAGTTCTCGTATTCCTACTCTCTGGATCTAACTGTGATCACCAAGCTAGGTAGGTACTCTTAGTTAACAATGTGTTCATGGTAAAAAACCAAGAGCAATTGGCAGCAGGCCTCATTAGGTGCCATCCCTTCCTTTTCTTAGCAGTTATAGGATTAAGTTGTACTTGGTTACAACTGATACTCGCATTTGAACTGAGACTTGCAAAATCTCTTAAGTTGGAGCAGTAAGCGAAGCTGGATGTGGCATGTCCTGCACTATCTCGGCTTTTCAGTGGCTATTCCTTGAGAGCAGAGTTGCTCCTTCCAATTATAACAAACTGCCCAGTGGTTACAAGGGGTGGTCCTACTGTCCTAACAGCCGAAGCATACTCAAACTGCTCAAGACTCAATTACCAGAAATACACCTCTCAAACTGAAATTTCTAGGGGGTGATTTGTTTCACTTTAACATATTAAACTACCCAGTGCGTGTTGTAGAAATGTACTGTCTTCTCTTGTTGCACTGCTTGCAAGCCCACAATGAGGAGGCCTGTTGCAGGGTTAGGCAAACTCTTATTGAACGGATTGGACATGCTGTGTTAAAGTAATTAATGCTTCCTGACCAGCAGAGAACAGAGATTTCCCAATACCTCTCTCAGGCAGTTGCTTGCATGATGTTCACAATTTAGGCTAATCGCTTTCAGACAGACCGGAGGTTTTGGTCTGAGGAGACTGTAGATAGGATTACATTGTCCTACTTCACATGTACCAGTAGTGAGTACAAAACTGTATAATCTGGAAAACTGAATTTAATATTCTGTCCCAAGAACTAGAACCCATCTTTCCATTGTAACTTTTTACTTTGTGCTGATCCCTGCCAGCTGAAAAGAGGATTGTCTTTGCCATAGCAGTACTCCACGTGGGGTCTCACCAGAGCAGAGCAGAATCACCTCACCCAACCTGCTGGCCACACTTCTTTTGATGCAGCTCAGCTTACAGTTGACCTTCCGGGCTGCATCTGCACACTACTGGCTCATGCCCAGCTTTTCATCCACCAGTACCCCCAAATCCTGCTCTGCAGGGCTACTCTCAATCTTGTCATCCCCCAGCCTGTACTGGTACTAGGGGTTGCCCGGACCCAGGTGCAGGACCTTGCCCTTGGCCTTATTGAACTTCAGGAGGTTCACACAGGCCTGCTTCTTGAGCTTGTCCAGGTGCCTCTGGATGGCATCATGATTCTATGATAGAAGCCCTGCAGTAGTACTGGTTGTTCTGCAGTGGGAAGGTCCAACTTATCCACGCTGATGGGCGAGATCTGCAGTACTGTCTGCAAATTCACTGCTCACTGATGTGTTAGCCACATCAACCACATTCTCAAGGTCATGGTGTCCTTTTGTCCAGCAGGCATACCTCAGTTGGAGTGGGTGTGAGAGCTTGGAGTACACCAAGAGGCTCTATGTGCTCTGACAAGCAAGTGGTTACAAGATGGTTGTCCTTCTGTGTAATCCTTTTCTGCAGCCTTCTCTCCGGCCTTCCCAAGATTTTGCTCTTTTTCTTTCTGCAGCTCTTTATACCAGTGTACCTGTTTTCAGAGCAGCCTGATCCAGCTGCACCAGACCTGACCAGTTCCCCTCAAGTGCTGACTCCCTCTGCATGAAGGAAAAACCACAAAGAGCACCACAATCCCATACGAAGGAGAAACAAGGCATTTAGCATCAAAATATTTTAAAAAAATTATAAAGAATCTGTTTAACAGGCCACTCCAGCCTGAAAATAAAGAGCAAGCCAACCTGGCCATAAGTTAAAAGATGGGACATTATTCCAGAATAAACTAAACTGACACATCCATCTGTCCATTCCTAGCTTCGCTGAATATTGCTCTGTTAGAGTGCATGGAGTTGGTGATGTGGTACTACCTGAAGGATTCTGTAAATGACCTCCATATTACTGTGATTGCATAGGATCTTTCTTTGTACACCGTCTGAGCTTAAGACACATTTTACTATGGATCCAGAAAAACCAAGGAAGATAGTTTCTTCAAACTAGATGTGAGCATTCCCCATTTGTGAATACCTTACAAGGCTGGGAAAACCAAGGTAGAAGGATGTGATGATAATGTTCATTGGTACTCCCGTAACGGTGTTCACTGTAGAAATTGCTGTGCCTCACTCTTGCTTGCTTAGTTGGAACAGATCCTGGATTTGGATTATGTTGTTAAAATTTCAGAATATACCTCATGAGTCTGTTGTGATGGGATGAATGCATTTCTTGCTTTAGTGAACATTTAGGTACCTATGATTTTAAAGCACTGGAAAGATCTCAAACCTGGCCTGTATTTGTTTTTGTTAGGCTTGCTAAGACATATTTTGTTTCTTAGATTTCAGTTGAAGGCTTCAGAAATATTGCCAATGGCTGCAGTGGCATTCAAGATTTGGTAATGAACAGCATGCCAACTCTTACAGACAGATGTATTCAAGTAAGAAATTGAAAATAAATCTGTACTTTGAGGAAGTTTCTGATGTTGGAACCAGGTTACCCTCTCAAGTGACTTGAAAGAAAGTTATGCAGATACAATTTAAGAGGGAAATTTCTACCAAAAAACATTTTTACAAATCATTATATAATTATGTTTGTAAGTTTTGCTCACTTGCAGGCCCTTTTAGAAAATTTCAGTTGTCTTCTCTTGTTTTGCTACATGGGTATGGTTGAACTACAGTGTTCCACTTTATAAATGTGAGGTTTTAGGTTTTTCAGTGTTAACCAAATGTAATGTATGGGAGCAGCATTCTGCTACTGATTTTGCCCATCAGAAAAGAACTTTCAGGCTTCTGCAAAAGCGATTGTTAACTAGATCACTGTCTTGGGTGTCTTTCTTACTTTATGTCTCCAGTTACTTCTTTTCCTTGTGTTCCCACACTTAATAAATATATTGAGAATTTCAGTACATTTATACCGCTCGTTGTCTAGAAGTTACTGTTAAAAGGGATTCCAACTATTTGTTTGAAATTGTAACATTCAATATTATATGCAGAATATTTACTGATCTTTTGTTATGTGACAGAATAGGTACATGAATATTTTATTTCACTTTTTCCCCTTCAAAGGCTCTGGTTGAAAAGTGCCAACAGATAGCGTCTGTTGTCTTTCTTCACTCTCCACATCTTTCTAATACAACTTTTAAAGCTCTTGCTGGATGTAAACTTGTCAAGGTCAGCACTGAAGGTTAGTATACTAATTCACAAAGTTGGTAGGGTGATGTCTTTTTAAAATTCACCCAGATAACTTGAAATAAATCTTCCATCTGATTTCAGTGGGTGTTTGGATCAGGCCCTTTATATATGTCAGATGTGTAACTTACATCTTTATATATTTCAACAGGGAATAAACAAATTACTGATTTAAGTTTCGAGTTGATGAGTAAATGCTGCCCATATATCAGGCACATTCATATGGCTCGTTGCCCGGAGGTTACAGATGCTGGTCTTCAGATGATTTCACCACTGAAGCATATTCTTGTGCTGAATCTAGCAGACTGCATAAGGTACGACATCACATCCGGATTTCTGTAAACTGTTGCAAACAAGTTTAGTAAAGTTAATTATTCTCATAATAAGTCCAGTTAGCACATCTTTCAGTTTTAAAAATAAATTCTTAGAATGTTAATACTTGTATCTTAATATTTTTAAAAATATTGTCTACAAGTAGCTTTTTGTTCCTCTATCACAGTTTTAAAAATCCACTCACTGTTACTTAAATTCAAGCAAAAAAATAAACTGTGGGTGTAATATTAGTAGCCATGGCATTTTTTAGTGCTGGAATGTGACTATGACAAGGTGAAAATGATGAACAAAGGCAGTGCCAGTGCCACAGCTCTGTTAAAATTTGGATACTGTTTAATTTTGTGAATATTAGAATAATATTTTGTAACTATCTCGTACTAAGATGTAAAAAAACCTGCCATCTTTTTAAAATGACCAAGACAAGATTGTAATTTTTGTTGTAGAGGAAGGATGTATTTTATGTGAAGATTGTTTTCCACTTCAGGTGTGTCATGTATCAGTAGAAACAAAGACAAACGAAAAGGCTGCGCACTTGTTCCCTGATTTGTGGCATGGTGATGAAGTCAAGGCTGGGAGGAAGCAGGGAAGACAAAACCTCCAAACACTTAAAAAATCAATAGACCTAAAAAAATAGTACAAGGAAGCTAGAATTGCTGCTTATCTTGAAATTTCTGTTGTGTGAAGTTTTAGGGCTTCTGCTTTAATGTGTAACTAAAGTACTTTTTTTGCCTGTTAATGCTGTGTAAAAATTTGGTAACATTGCAGGTAGATGAGCTGAGAGGTGCTGGAGAAATACTGTGAGAGTTGGTACTTCAGCTGGGCACATGGGCCAGCTGCCTCATTTTCTGGTTTCGCATTTAAAAGGCTGGATTTTCCAGTCCGCTAGCCAAATCTGGGGTTGTGTGTTTTCACATGTGTCTATGGTCTCTGCTGCTAAACAATTGCTGAATAACCTTAATAAAACTCTTGAGGTAGTTGTAAAGCTATTGTAAAACTCTGTGCTTGTTACTGCTTTTGCGGGCACTTCTAAAAGTTCCAGCATCAACAAAGTTATATGTAACACTTCTAAACTTGGTGAAGAATTTTTCTCAAGAGATATGAAGCTACGAAAGGGAGATTTTTAGATTTAGATTTAGATTTAGATTTATTAGTATTTATGTTTCTCGTATTTGGACAGTATGTTGCTATAAAAGTTCACATTGTGAGTCAGAAACATTTAGGAATTTCTCACAGAAATCAAGAAACGCGCTGGTGGTAAAATCTTAAGAACAGATTTTGAAATGCTTAGCTGTCTTAGTGCTCTTAATCAGTTTCCTTTTTTAGCCTGGCATTTTATCTAAGAGTCAAAGTTTTTCAAACTTAGTTATATGCAGGTTTTTTTTAAGAAAAGCAAATCTAACAATTCAGAATTCTTGAATTACAGGAAGTATTTGACTACATGTGAAAAATTAAGGAAGAAATTTAACTGATCATGATGATTAGAATTTAGAAATCATAAAGATGTGAGTAAAAAGGTGTCTGAAAGTGGATACAAGCAATGTGGTGGCTCATACTCTTTGCACATTTTCCCAGTTTTTTATCTTCATGTATGATAAAGCAGTGTGTGGCCTGTGTTCTTATAATCAGCTGTCTGGAGAAACGTAGCATGTATATCCACAGAACAAATATTTCAAAAATAATTTTGTGACTATTTCAGCTTTCAAGCCCAGTATGGCTGCAGGATATCTTTTTTTTTTTTTTTAAATTCAGTTGACTGTGCTGCCAGGCTCTGCATTCCTTACAGACTTAATGCAGGTTAATTAGTCTGAAAGTGTATTTCTTAAATTTGAATGAAAAACAACTGCACTGTGAAATAACGCTAGAACTATCACAGTGGTTGAATTATTGCAGTGAGATTACTTGAACGCTCTGTTCCGGTTATCATTTTACTAGTAGTACTATTCCTACCCATATGTTTATAGGACCTTGGGATTTGCAGTGATTCTTTGTGCTGTGACAAACTGTGCAAGCCAAAATACGATTCTGTGCTACAGAATTCTGGGATTAATTTTGTATTCATCAGGGAATACAGACTAAATACCAGGAATGCATTGAAAAGATGAATGTACAAGTAATGTTAAACATACCAGAGATATGAACTGTATTGAAACACTTAGCCAAGCTGTAGTCAGCTTTCTAACCCTCTCAACTTGGCTGAAAGATTTTCTATCTACTGAATTTTTAAAACTCTTTTTTATAAGTTAGCGATTTGTGTGTGAGACGTACAATTGACTAAGAGAAACACTGAAGAGCTTAGGTTAGCTCTTCATGCACGTGTACCGAACAGCTGCTACATACATATGCAACCTATCACTTTTGTTTCTGTGCCAAAGGTCAATTTTTTGTTAAATTATTTCAGTTCCTTACCTTAAAAATGACAAACCAAACATTACTCTGAAATGTTTAAACAGGTTCTGATACATTCTAGGTTGGTTTTCCAAGCTCTGTATTTTGGGGTGCTATCATATCTGAGTGCTGGAACTAATAGAATTTCTCGTAATCTCCAACAGACTTTTTTTACGGGAAATTCTGGCTTTCAGCAGTTCCAAAGAGTATCATCTTTCTAACTGAGCCATTCATTATTCTGACGCCTTCTTGGGTTTAAAAAGCTATTTAAAAATATCATTATTAATTTCTGCTTATCTACAACGCAGGCTGTGGAAAGCAAATGTTATATTGATTTGTATGGACTAGGAAAAATGCATGTAAATATTGCCTACATTTCTCTTTTAGCATCAGTGATGAAGGCGTAACGACATTTGTACAAGGTTCTTCAGGAGCTAAACTGAGAGAGCTGAATCTGAGTAATTCTTTTCGTGTCACTGATGCTTCTGTTACAGAAATAGCACAAAGGTACCAGAGTCCAATTTCTCTCTCTAGTCCAATACAATATTTTTCTAGCGTGGTTAGACTTTGAACGTGTTGCTAATGTTCTTAATATGTTAATAAATGGGTAAAATTATACAGCCATTTATATGCAGAAAACAGTACTGGATAAATGACTAGTCCCCTTTGGCATTGTGAGTTTCTTGAAAAAATGCTCTAATATATGAAGGGGAATTCACCAATATAAATATGGAAACCTGTGAAATCTTGATTTTAGGGAGAAAAAGAGTGCTTGAATGATGGTTGTCAGTAATAAAACTGCAGTAAAAGATTAGTATGTATAAGTCACATTTTGTAAACTCGATAAATGCTGTTGTCTGCACAAACACAAAACACTCTATTGCAAACATCTTCAGTGCCAGTTCCTCGGAAGTACAATCGGATAGCTGAGCACCCCTGAGTGTAGATGCGCTGTTTGAGGATTCACATTTCTCAGGTCTTCTGGTTTGGTTATGGGAACATAGAGTTTATGGTGCTTACTTATAAAGTAAAATTCAGTCTTCCACTCGTGGTCAGTGAGTGTCAATTTGCAGACCCTGGCAATGTCTTCATTTGCTGGGTATCGTGATTTGTGTTGCTGCAGCTGGGTGTGGGTAACAGCTGTGGGGTCCTGAGTTCTGTCCGTGCAGTGAGCTTTGAAGTTCTTGTGCAAGGTGTGAGAGACTTGGGGACAAGTCAGGCATCAAACTAATGTAAAAAATATTTTCATTTGTAATTCATAAGATGATTTACTTTCATTGCTGTCCATGGTTTGAAATATTTTCAATGCTTGCGTATTATGAGTATAATACTTGGAAGTGCCTATGTAGGCAAAGTATCAAAAGTCTGGTCTCGTTCCATGGGTCTAGAGTGCTCCTTTTCATAGGTTCCCTGAAAAAAAAATTAGCAAGGTTTATTACAAAAATGTACTTGCTATACTACAGTTCTGTAACCACAGTGGTAAGATGTCGTTTCTGGGTTATTTTATTGTATTTAGATGTCATGAATTGACCTACCTGAATCTGCATCACTGTGAAAATGTGACTGATGCTGGAATTGAAGCCTTGGGAAATATGTCATCGCTGATATCCATTGATCTCTCTGGAACCAGCATCTCAGATATGGTATGTGTAGATTAGATAGATAGATAGATAGATAGATAGATGGATGGATGGATGGATAGATAGATAGATAGAATGTGTACTGTATATATGATTAAAGAATGAAGAATATGTTTACTACTTATCTAGGCTTTCTGAAAAGATGCAATAAAAATACATTCATTTAAAAACCTGCATGAATATGAAGCAGTGGAGTTGCAGTATCATGAAAACATATTTTAGAAATGTATATAATATAATATTAGCCCAGGTAGTACACAATGCAAGATAATTCTTATGTTGGACAATTGTTGCATTTGAAAGAGGGAAACAGAAATTGTCAAAAAGAAAAGGTTTGGCTGCTGTGAAACTGATTGAAAAAAAATGTTAAACAGAAATTGTTTTTTCTCCAGGATGATTAGACCTGAGGAAAAAATGGGGAAAAAAAGGTATTTAAAAAATCTTAAGTTTGTAAAAATTGTGTTTTCTGTGAACTAGATTTTCTGGGGAAAATTCCTGAATGTTAGCTTTATCAGAGGCACGGCCCTACACTGCGGTCTAGAAGATAATTGGTAGTGAAAGAATTGCTAACAAGGTATCTTCAATGTGTCAAGTTGTGAAGGCTCTGGAAAGCAAAATAGCGAGTATGGGAGCCAGGTTAAACATCCCAGGCCCCCACATTAGATGTTCTTGGCAGATCCTGCCTTGTGCGCAGGGTTCAGAGCCAGCTCTGCTGATTCTTTTGCTTTTGGGGCAAACTCTTTTCAGTGAACATAGAAATGTAGGACAAAACTCGTGAAGAGAACTTGTCCTAGGGATTATTCACTCAGTCACTGTTCAAACAGAATTCTGACCAAGAATTGACCAAGAACTCCCAAGAGAGTTGGAAATCCAAGAAGACTTAATTTAATATGATAATTTAAAATATCGTAAAACTATGTCTGAGTGACATTTATGCTGCCTTGAATTCCAGTCCCACAATGTTTCAACGTGCATGTTTTCTTCCTCCTTGCCTGCCACGGCTATCTTTTAAAATGCCGTGTTGCTTTTTACTCTAGTTTTCACATAGCACAACCCATGACCTCGGCAATAAGCCAAGCCCTTTTGCTGACACTGCGTTTCTAAGGCTTTCAGTTTTCTCTCTCCCAAAAGACAGATAAATTAACTCAGAAACTGAACATTTATAATTTTTGTAATTTGTGATCTGATTGCCAGTACTAACTGCAAAACTCTTAATGGTTTTTGCCATTTGCTGTGTTTAAGTGTATAACATTCACATGTGTATAATAAATATATTTTTAATCTTAAAACATTTGATAAAAGGAAATCTAGCAGTCTGCTTTGCAACAAGCTGCTACTTGTATGCTTTGACTTTATATTATGCATTTCATTAACATACAGAGGAAGTTGTATTAAGTTCTCTTTCAATTTAGACTTTGCAAGTGTAGATTTAGAAGTGTAACAGAGAGCACAATGTTTTATGTGCAGTAATCCACACTGTTACACTGCCCTGATAAATAAAAAACTGTAAAGCTTACATGCTTTCCTGCAATCTATGCAGTCGATCTCTGTTCCTTTTGCTGTCTTGCTATTTAGTGTGAAAAATGTAGAATGTGCAACATAGATTTGCACTACACAGGAAAATTTTCCTTTCTGCTTTTTAAAATGACAGCAGAATTCTTCAGCTCATCAAAGCAGAGCAGAAATTACTTCAGTAAGGATGACATACTCTTAAGGGAAGGCTAGGGGAGAAAAGATAGAGTCAGATTTTCTTACAGATTTGTGTCTCAAGTGTGATCAACTTAGTATGTAGAAGGTTTCTTTCTACTGTTCATGCCTTTCTCTTTGTAGTTATCCTGATGCCCAATAAATGAATGTTCCTGGTGCAATTTTTCTTTTGTTTGGGGAATTTATTGAATTTGGAGTAAATAAATTGACTCTTAGGGTTGTCCTTGACAAGAAATCTTGTTAATAGAAAATGAATTACAATACCCTGTAGACTAACAGTAATTACAAAATATAGTGCTAATAAGAAATACATTAAAGGTCTCATTTTTGGAGAAGTTTATTATACCTGTCCTGAGTCTACTCCTCAGTGGAAAAGCTAGAATTGAATAAAATTTATTGTTGCATATATTCAGATTTTTGGTATTTTGTTGGAAGTTACCTATTTTACAGAGAGAAAATGCCTAGGCAAACTGCTAAATACAGGCTAGAATAAGGCAAGCAATTCATCGCCTCTTTAAATTGTATGTGTGCTTACTTGAAAAATGGGAAGAACCCTGATACACTTCTGAAATCAAGGATAAAAAGAAAATATGAAGAATACACAGAAATACTCTTCCTTCTGTGTTTTATTCTGCAATGACTGTTGTACATGAAATTCTCTTTCATACTAATCTAAGGCCCCATGCTGTCCTCTGGCTGAAATAGCTCCTTAGTAACTCTCTGTGCATCAAATCAGCTGATAGTTCACATTTTTTGTGTGCTATCTGTAGTTAGTCTTTGAAGCAGAGGATAATTTGTAATCCCTGGGAACTCTGGAGTTCTATGGATGTATAAACAGTTAACTTTCTCTTCTTGTGTGTTTATACTTAATGATCTTCAGATCCTGGCTGGTCCTGAAGGCCAGGCTGGAACAGAAATATTTACTAAAATTTTAATAATAAGTTTCTAAATAGGGGAAAAACCCCCAAACCCTAAAATTGGCATTTTGGCTTTCCACAGTTACCTAGAGTAATTTCTTTGCACTCCTGTTGGGATTCTGAATTTATGGTGACCTGGAGCCATAGACCAGCTCCACAATTTGGTGTATTAGAAAATTAGGCCAGTAGGACTGAGTACGAGCTCTGTGAAAGTTAAAAAAAAGATATTATCGGGTGTAATAGATATAAACAGCAACAGACTGAAAATGAATTAGTTGCACTGGATTTCCAAAGGAAAGGATGTAACAAATCACACACGTTCCCAAGGCAGGGAAAAGGAGGTGTTAGAATATATTAAAATGGGCTCCAAATTCAGATGTTAGCGCTCTGAGTTGCTTGGGAGGATAAAGAGAAAATTTGACCTGGAGACTTCGGAACTTAATTCTGCATAGCTATAAGAAATACTAAGACAAAGTCATTACAATCAATGCCAGATGTGCTAAGACCTTGAGTCCCAATGCAAATCAGCAATGCTGAAATTGGGCTTGATATTTTTACAGGACACTCTGTTGCAATGGAAGCCCTGTTGTCTGGACTCAGTGTCAAGAAACATATTTCATGAGTTATGATCAGATCTAACTACCAATGTGTTAGATACAGCAATGAAATTCTGTGACATGCATTATGCACAAAGTCTTATAGAGCGATTTCTGCACTGCAACAGAAAAATGTCTCTGCAGTTCCTGTGAGCAGATCTGACCTACCTCTATATTAGCTGAGGCAGTGGAAACCATATAGCTGCATTTCCTTAAGAACTTGCCCATTTTCCAGAAGGTTCTTGCCATCTGAAATCGAGCTGTGTTCTGCCACACATGTATTGTTATTAGCAAAATGATACCGCGTGATAAGAGTTACATTCTTCTAGTGTTTGATCCATCAAACTGGTGCCTGACTGTGGCTAATCTGTGCAGAAATCTGAGAATTTCAGAGGTTAAGCCGAGTCATTTAGTATTAAATGGCTCAGAAATGGAAAGTGAGAGATCCCTCTGAAGAGCTGTCTTCCAAGATTGGAGTCACTTTGAGGTCAACCTCTTTGGTCTGGAGTATGAACAGGAAGTCACATCTGTACATCTCTGGAATGTAAAGATCCATTACAGATGCTGGCCTTTAGGTTTCAAAGAGATATGTGGATGGAAAAGTCAGAAGAAGTTGAAAATAGTGTAGCACATGGTTATTGTTAGTGAGAGTTGGTATATTCATTGCAGTCTGCAGTTGACGGGCAGAGATTTGCAGTTTGTGAATATGAATAATAAAGAGTTGTTCTTTGTGATGCCCCCGCCTCACATGACTATTTTCTCTAGAAAGTGAAGATCCTCACCAACTGGCACACTCAATGCTCATTTACTCATCTACAAAAAATGTGAAGAAATAATAGTAAAAGATGTTCTGCAAAAGTTTGTAGGCATCACATAATAAAGTAAATGAAACAGAACAGAAATGTAAAAATTGCTTGAAAAAAAAGCTGTTCGAGAGGAATAAGAAGTTTCTTTTAAAGTTGTTTCCTAAATGGAAATGGTAATATACATGCTACATATAATGAGCAGAGTGAAGTCTTTCCTTTTTCCATGGCAGCAGAAGATGGATCCAATATACATGGGGTGATTTCTTTATTTTAAGGTGGAAGTATGGTTTTGGAGATCCGTAGAGTGGGTGATCCTAGTCTGTGTGCTGTGCAGTATTTGTTTTGGTGGCATCTATTTCCAGGAATTCCAAAGCTGATATCATACTTCTGACCACATCTTTCAAAAATGTCAAGAGGCTTTGCATAGCAGCATTAGTTTTCATGTAGCAAAAAAAAAAAATCATTATAATATTCTTTGGTATTTCATTACCAAGTACATTAAAGTGGTGCCACTTTTAAAAAAAAAAGAAAAATGCATGAAGAAGTTATGTCCTAAGGTTGCACCTATCACTATCAGTCTCTGCTGTAAGGAATTCACGTTCTGACATAAACCCATTTGGGGTTCAACTATGAAACTGGTTTTTTGTCTCGAATAGGAGTGCTCTGGTCAACAAAATTTTGAAATCTGTAAATTTTCATGAAGTTGTTGAAACAGTCACCACATAACTGCATCTGCTAAGGAAAATGCAAGTTTGTTGTTTTCATAAGTAGCCAGGATTGGAAATCTCTTTCATTGTTCCAGTTCTTGGTTTTATTCAGCCTGTGAGATTGCAGGAATTTGCAAAATTTGAACTCCAGCCAGGCTCGTCCAGCATTATTATCATTACAGTGTCCACATCTGGATTCCAGACACTATCTGCATCTGCTTATTTTTTCAAGATATTTCCTCTCTGTGCAGTACTGATCACTGCCTAACTGTAGATAATTTATTAACCATACGGAATAAAGTGATAACTTTGTTTTTCAGTAAAGTTTATTGATATGAAACACTGAGATATTCTGCTGCGACTATCAAAATACATTTTACAAAACCAACATTTAATTCTCCTTCATGTTAGAGAGTTTAGGATCAGAACCTGATCCTCTTTCTTGGTGTACCAAGCAGTAAAAAAAAATCACAAAATATCTTCGTATCCTTTTGCACTCCTAAAATAGGAATTTACCAAAGTTTTCACCTCCCTATAATCTTGAATATGGGAATTGTTCATGCACCTATGAACATGACTGCATCATTTCAAATGTTCTCTTGTATCATAGCTGTGGCCATAAAGCCCTTACTGGTAAGCTAATCAGAAAAGCAGCAATTTTAAGATATTATTTGGTCATAGCAAATAGTATTTTGTACTTCTGATGAAAAAAAAAGCTGTGAAAAGTTCTTTTAAACCTATATTTTGGAGGAGGTCTGTAAATGTATTTTGTTTTATGAGAGTCCTGCTCTGTGTCATGTTTAAATATTTCACGCTAGGCTACTTCAGTTTCTTTCTGAAGAGGTAGGAATATCTAATTTTTTGCTTTCTTGGTTAAATTATTTCTGAAAATAATTCTTAACCCTTGTACATATTTCAAGCAAAAGCCAGAGGATAAACTATATGCATTCCCCTGAAGAAAATGTCTTAAAAGGTGCTGTGAGTTTTATATGGAAGCTTTAATATACATGCAATGGATATTATCAACCATCTTAACATATTAAATACAATTGCATATAATTGCATGTATTGATTTTTAAGATTATTATTATATTTTTAATTTTTTTAGGGCTTGAGAGCACTTGCCTACCATGGAAAAATAAAGGACCTTTCTATATCAGAATGCAAAAATGTCAGTGATATTGGGATTCAGGTAAAACTTGATTTTTCCTGGAAACCTCTCTATTTCTTCAAACTAACAATGTCCAAAACTTATCTTATTTTACTCTATATGCCATCATTAATTCTTCATTACACCCTTCTACACTCCCACTCTTACAAATGATTCTCCCTTGTCAATCTTTTCCACTTTTTTCCATTCCTTCCATGAATTTTACTGTGTCTTAACTATCATCAGTGCAGTAACTGCACACTAAATTCTGGTTTATTAACACTCATTATCTCATTTTGGTAAAATCGGTCAGTGTTATTAGAATTATTTTTATGGGTAAAGCATTCCACTGGAAACTGGGGGAGATTCGGAGAAGGTAATAGGGATGGTCAGAGAAATGATACAATCTCATAAAAGGAACAGATAACTAAGCAAGGAACCTGCAGTCTGAAAATGGGATGGCTGAAGGAATACGGCTGAGGTATGTTCAATAGCAAGTGGCATGAAAAGGGTGGACAGGGGTCAATTTTTTTTTCTCTGTACTTCCATACGTAATCTAGTGAGCATTAAATGAACCTAGTTTGAAATTTTAGAATGCAGGGAGTAGCTAGTAGATTGAGAGAGGTCCTCCTGCCCTGGTGAGGCCACATCTGGAATATTGTGTCCAGTTCTGGGTCCCTCAGCTCAAGAGAGACAGGGAACTGCTGGAGAGAGTCCAGCACAGAGCCACAAAGATGATGGAGGGAGTGGAACATCTCCCTTCTGAGGAAAGGCTGAAGGAGCTGGGTCTCTTTAGCTTGGAGAAGAGGAGGCTGAGGGGTGACCTTGTAAATGTTTATAAATATGTAAAGAGGGAGTGTCAGGAGGATGGAGCCAGGCTCTTCTCAGTGACATCCAATGACAGGACAAGGGGCAATGGATGCAATCTGGAGCATAAAATGTTCCACAAAAATTTTAGGAAAATCTTTTTCACTGTGAGGATGACAGAGCACTGGCACAGGCTGCCCAGGAGGTTGTGGAGTCTCCTTCTCTGGAGACATTCAAAACCCGCCTGGATGTGTTCCTGTGTGACCTACTGTAGGTGATCCTGCTCTGGCAGGGGAGTTGGACTAGATGATCTTTTGAGGTCCCTTCCAACCCCTGACATTCTGTGTGTGTCTGTGTGTGTGAAGTAAAGAATCACAGAATCTTAAAATTGTTTACATTGGAAAAGACCTTTAAGGTCATCAAGTCCAACTCCTAGTGATGTCAGGTCCATCACTAAAACACATTCCTGAGCATCTCATCTACACGTCTTTTAAATACCTCCAGGGATGGTGACTCAACCACTTATCTGGGCAACCTGTTCCAGTGCTTAACAGAAGAATTTTTTCCTAATACCCAATCTAAACCTCCCCTGGTGCAACTTGAAGCCATTCCCTCTTGTTCTATTGCTAGTAACTTGGGAGAAGAGACCAACACCCACCTCACTACAACCTCCTTTCAGATAGTTGTAGAGAGCAATAAGGTATCCCCTCAGCCTCCTTTTCTCTAAGCTAAACAACCCCAGATCCCTCAGCCACTCCTCATAAGACTTGTGCTGTAGACCCTTCACCAGCTTTTTTGTCCTACTTTGGACACACTCCAGCACCTTGATGTCTTTCTTGTAGTGAGGGGCCCAAAACTGAACACAGGGTACAAGATGCAGCCTCACCAGTGCCAAGTACAGTGGGACGATTGCTTTCCTGGTCCTACTGGCCACACTATTCCTGATGCAGGCCATGATGCTATTGGCCTTCTTGGCCATCTGGGCACACTGATGGCTCAGTTCAGCTGGCTATCAGCCAGCACCCCCAGGTGCTTTTCCTCTGGGCAGCTTTCCAGCCACTCCTCCCCAAGCCTCTAGCATTGCAGGGTTTGTTTTTTTTTGTCCCAAGGGCAGGACCCAACACCTGATGTTGTCAAACCTCATACAACTGGCCTCAGCTCATTGATCTAGCCTGTCCAGATCCCTCTGTAGAGCCTTCCTATCCTCAAGTAGATCAACACTCCCATCCAGCTTTGTGTGATCTGCAACTTATTGAGGGTGCACTCGATCTCCTTGTTCAGATTGTTAGTAAAGATGTTAAACAGAACTGGCACCAGTACTTGAGCCACGGGGAACACCACTTGTGACCTACCACCAGCTGAGTTTAGCTCCATTACACCACTCTTTGGACCTGGCTATTGAGCCACTTTTTTACCCAGCAAGAGTGTATGCCCATCCAAGCCATGAGTAGCCAAAGATGACTGTTCCCAAAACGTGTAGTTAAATTCCTTATCCTTATCAAAAATTTCTTGAAATTTATCTAAATCTTTATGGAGATTTGACAAATTCAATATGATTGCTTAGATTTATTGCTCTGTGTTTCAGAACAAATAGAAGAAATAAACACTAGTTGGAAGCTTTACAGGAAAAAAAAAAGGACCATCCATCTTGTTAGGAATAAGAGAGAATTTACATCCAAATAAGAACACTTTTTTTTTCTGTAACAAAATTGTTCCTAACCATACGTAACTTAAATGCTTAAATCATGTTCTTTAGTTATATGAATTTCATGCCCATAAACAGTTGCAGATCATAATGCTGCAGGTACAGGCAATGCCATCACATTATCCATCTTCAGCGTCTACATTTTTTCCATTATAAAGCTCCAACATCCATCGTTTTATAGTCATATACTGTAAGAATGAGTCAGTTGTTGCTGCACCACAAGAGATGCATCTGGATTGAATCTTGAAACCCAACATACACGTCAGGCCATTAGGATTTGCTTCTTTAGGAATAATTCTGACTTGCCTTTCATGAATGTTCTGTGTAAAGTTCCATTTTTTTAACCAAAAAAACTGACCTATGTACCTCACGGAAAGCCATGTAGTGCCAGCACTGCTTCTTTCAGAGAAAATTTCCTTCTGAGTTGTGCTATGCTCATGGCTAAGAAGCTATTTCAATTGTCTCACTAGATAAAGTTCAAAAAAACACTGTGAAAAAAGAAATGTTTATACTTTTGTTGTCTGCCATTTGAAGTTAAACTTTTTGGGGAGCTACATGCAGTAGTTACAGAAGGTATATTTTCATTGAACTAGGGAGGGTAGGAGAAAGAAAAAGAGGTATAAGGTAACTCGAAACAAAGTGGCAAGTCCATTTTCTAAGTTGAATTTAAGGAGATAGATTTTTCTGGAAAATTTGCAGGGTGATCATATTGTATGCTGCATGACTTGGTTATCCTTTGATTATATGAAGAATATTAAAATGATGTGAAAAGAGAATACATCTTAAGAGGGATTTATTAACTTTGTTAAGGTAAATGGCTGGAAAATTATAAAATAACTAAATAATGTGACAAAAAGTAATAGAAATAATGTTAAAGGTACAGTGTTAATTCTTTTAATTGTTCCCAGATGTTATTACACTATGTAATGCTTACAAAAGCACATATTTTGTAAATAGGATATTTGTTTATTCATAATTGAGATGATGCTCATTTAATGAGAAGAAATTTAGTATTTCATATTTTCATTGGTGCTTGTGCTGTCCTCAGACCTTAGTTACATGGAATTAAAACTGTAAAAATAAGCTAGAAAATGATGTTATTTTCTTCAAGTGATATTCAATTCTTTGTAATGTCTAATTATTTTGCAAACATTTTTTGTCTTCACAACCTCTTCTATTTTCATTATAGGCATAGAACCAGGGGAATGGAGATGGCAAGAGCAAACAAAGCTCCATTGCCTTTGATTATGAATATAATTTCAGCACTATGTGCAAAATAATGTAGGGATAGAGTTAAAGTATAGAGAAAATTCAGAACCCAACTTTGAAGGATGTTTTAAATATGTATGTAGACAAACCGTGCCAGTAAAAATAAGATAAACTTATCTCACAGGCATTGAAATCTTGGCTTCAGCTTGTGCTACATACCCTAGCTGAGAATGTAGTGATTAAGTCATCATATCTGAGGCCTAATTCTGGAGGGGATGCAGTTTCTTTTGCATATGGATAAAAACCATTCAGTTATTTGATTTAGAATGTTTCTGTATTGCAGGTAACCAACAGCCTGTAGAGCTAAGACTGAAATAGGAAAGGTACAGAAGCTAATATAAATTCTGAATTGTCCACTTTAACCAGTCTTAAGTTAAAACATTGGCATTCTAATATTTACATAAAATAAAACAAGAACCCAAAGCCCAAGAAGCACTGGCTTGCTACAGCTGTACTTATAGACAGAAAAAAGAAGCTAGAGTGAGGATACAGACAGAAAGTTCTAAAATTCCAGTCTATGAAACAAATTTCAGACAATAAATTTCTCTGCATCTGTTTAGGTAAGGTTTCTGAAAATCACACAGAATCGTGTAATTTTTGATCATTAGAAAGCTAACATTTTCCAGTGATCAACCATATGTTCGTGTTCAAGCTCCTGTTTTACATAAGAAAAAAATAGTTATGTGTCAAAGGCTGATTAATGCAAAAGTCTAATTACTACAGATTATTTTTTTCAAAATGAAAAATATGTAGTATTTGCGCATGATAAATATGTGAATCTGTGTGTCTCTGTGTGCATGCACATGTGTTATTTATCCGTGTCGTCCTTAGCCTGTTTACCTCAGGACTAATTCTTGAAAGTTTTTGAAAGCTTCATGTAAGTTTTTTTTTTTTAAATTCAACATACTGCATAAGTACTTCCTTCTTTTCCCCAAAGAGTTAGAATTTCCATTCCAGTAAATGACAAATTACAATGGCTTTAGGCCAAGATCAGCAGGTCTGGAAGATCTGCACAGGGACAAATTTAAGGTATCTCACCGTGGTTTTAGTGTGAACATCACAGAAGAGATTCTCACTGAAGCTAAAGCTTTGCTGTAGCCACAAAATGTTCTACAGTGCCTGAAGAGTTCTACAGTGTAATGTTCTACAGTTCATCATGGCCTCTTAAGGTGAAGAAATACAATTTTAGGTTGTTTGGTTCCTGAGTTAATAACCTGCAGGCTCTTCAATAGAAGGTTTCCACAAACACAAATTATGCTCTATCTTCTCTTTGTAGGCCTAGAAGTGTATATTCCATGTTTGAAAAAGATTCAAACCAAAGAGAGAAAAGGAGAAAAGTATGTTTTATGACTCTATGTGGCTTTTCATAGGAGTTTCATTGCAAAAGATAAATGCGCATAATGTGCCAGAATTATAACTACCCATGTTTCATGAAAAACAAAGTTTAATTTAGGTTCTCTGATGCTATTTAAAATACAAAATGTAACGTGCATTTTGCCAGAAGTTTTCATTCATATGATCATCTGTCAGACATGCAAATATCAAATGTAAGATGAAAAATATATGAACACATTGAGTTGGTCATATTGGCCCTTTGGCCTTTCCAGTTGGCCTTGTAGAAGAGAATATGGAAAAGATATTAATGTAAAAAATTTTTTAAAATCACATAGAAGCTGGTATCACAAACATGGCACTTCAGCCACAGCTAACTGGCCTGAACTCCACAGAGAAAATCAGAACCCAGAATTCCTGAGTGACGGTCCTCAGATTCTTACCCAAGCAAATCATGTAATCTATACAGAGGTAGTTTGTTCATTCTGGGGAAAAAAAAAAAAGAAAGAAAAAACTAGTTAATATACATAAAAATGAGCATTTGCAGAGAGAAGAATAAATGTATTTGAACTGATTGTTTAAGCACAAACCTTTAGGTTCTGAGTTGTGCTCAACTGAAGGAACTCAAGTTGCACATATTTTAATATATGCAGTCAACTTAAATGCTAGTCTAATTAACACATTGTATAATACCTGAGAAATGGAAAATAGCCTCTTAGTGCATCTCTTCTTTTCCTAGTAACATTCACAGCCAACAGCTGAATGGCTTCACTCCTAATAGAGGTTACCTAGAAAGCTGAAGTGCCCGAAGCGGATCAAAGGATTGAAGTAAATGTATCATAAATAGAGAAAAATAGAATAGGCATGTCACCTAAGAATGATTGGTTTGTTTGTTGCTCTTTCAGGAGTTCTGCAAGGGCACAAAGTACCTGGAACACTGCCACGTCTCCTACTGCCCTCAGCTGACGGATGACGCTGTGAAAATCATGGCATTTCACTGCCAAGGACTGACATCTGTCAGCATAGCAGGTTGCCCAAATGTATGTATAAGAAATGGGGCAATAGCTCTGGGATTGCTATTGCAAGGAAGTACTTAGCATTTCATTCAGAAATTTAACCTTCTAGCATCTGTGTCTTGTCACAATTCTTCAATGTACTCAGTTAATTTAGAAATCAGAGCTTCAATTCAGCTGACTTTCCGCGAGTTTTAAGTTCTGAGACTTGGCGCCTGAGGGTTTGGCTTTGGATGCAGCTACAGCATAAAGGTGTCTGTACTGTGCCAGGTAAAAGCTTGTCTTTCCAGGGGTTGCTGTCTAGAGAAGGGTGAAGAGAGAAGAGCTTTTAGTGGTACCCTCTCAGCTTCTGGTGTTTTGAGTGCTTCCAACGGGTGATCATAGGATCATAGAATGGCCTAGACTGGAAGGGACCTTAGAGATCATCTAATCCAACCTCCCTGTCATGGGCAGGGACGCCTCTCAACTAGATCAGGCTACTCAAGGCTCTGTCCAACACCTCCAGGGAGGGGGTAGCCACAATGTCTCTGGGCAATTTATTCCAAAGTCTTGCCACGCTCATACTGAAGAATTTCTTCCTAAGATCCAGTCTAAATCTATTCTCCTTCAACTTAAACCCATTTCCCCTTGTCCTATCAGTGGACACTCTTGTAAAAAGTCCCTCCCCAGCCTTTCTGTAGGTTCCCTTCAGGTATTGGAAGGCAGCTCTCTTTTTACAACTCTCGGTATTTTCATCCAGCACACAGACTAGGATCACCCACTCTATGGTTCTCCAAAACTATATTTCCACTTTAAAATAAAGGTGGAACATAAACTTGGGCATGAGACTTTTATACCTGTGCCTTTACGTGGCAGAGCAGTGGCAACTTTGAGTGCATCAGCTTTTAGGCACTGCTGCGATTTTCAGAGATGTATGTTCACGCATAATTATTTTGAAAATTCTAAGCCTGACAAACTAAGTATTTTGGAAAATAAAAGTTATGAAGTATTTGGATGACTTATATATAGGGAAGACTTCCTTAGGTGTTTTTTTTTATAGTGAGTGCAGAGAAGAGTTTCTACAAAGCACCAGTCAGGGAACATTTCCTCAGTTCTTGGAGAAACCTTGTCTCTCTACTGACTGCTAGAAGAAGACTCAGAATACTAGTCATCCCAGGGCTACATGAGTATTCCCTTCATATCCAAGTTAATGTGACAGTTTTGCTGGTGGTTCCCAACTGTCACCAGGGTGCTTTGGTGAGTACTGTGAGCATTGTGGTTAGTAAGTATTTATGACCAGTAAAAACATGTGCAATTGCAACCATATTAAGTTACAAAAAAGAAAGCTGCTCAACTAATTTTCATTTAGAATGTCTAGATATCTGTAAAAAAATACAGTTATTTCCACCTATTTGTTTTGACTAAGATTCATCTATAGGGAAACTTAGTTCCTCTTTGCCATGAGTTTATACTACAGCATTTTTTCCCCTGTATTTTCTGTATCAGTTCTTTTTGATTGAAGGCTTGCACATCAGTTATCTTCTCCCTATATCTGAGTTTGTGCTATCTATTGAAATTATTGCTATTATGAAGGCCTAAATCTTCCCTGTACATTCTGACTTAATACCTCTGGCTTTTGTGTATTTAATTATTTCTGTGCTTTTAATTATTTTCTTTAATAGCAAAATCAAATACTTGCTGCATTTTGCCAATAAACGTTCAAACAAAAACTTTAAAATGCTAATTTCAATCTTTTTATTAATTTATTGGAAAAGATTGTTGCAATGTTGCTTCTATCACCATCAAGTGGGAATGGATCAAGCTTATTACTACTTTGGGAAAAGTTCATCTTGAAATATCCTTTAAAATTTCATCATACCCATTGCACTGATTTCCTCCTTTTTTCCTGCTACCATGTCCTTTTTCCTTCCACAAAACAGCTGCAGCCATCACTTGTCTCTGCCTTCTTCCTCTCCAACACCCATTTCCATAACCCTTGTCTATCCCTCCAGACCTCGATACAGTCCTCATGTCCTCTTATTCACTGCAGTGGCTGAACACAGCCTCCTGGCTAGAGAGTTTGAGCTGCCTTGTCTGACTAGTTAGCCAGCCCTAAACTGCAGATATTCCGATCAATTTGTTTGCCTTCCACAAGCTCCTACATTTCTGAGCCTCTCAGCCAAACCCCACAGGCTGTGTTTCAGATCTGGTGGGCCAACAAGGTTGTTCTGTGTCTTACAACAGCCCTTGGCTTCTATCTACCTATTGTGCACTGTTAATTCTTATATACATGGGGTCTCAATCTCCTGTATTCTTTGCTTTTAGATAGATCTGAAGCTATTTTTCCGTGACAGTGATAACATAATTTGTGCGTGGATATCTTCCCAAAGCGGCTGAAGTTAAGTGGTGTTGCAATCCATCTCTTCTGCCATGCTTTCCACTACACCTCGTATACTAACATAGGAAAACAGAACAAAGCAAAACAAAAGCATCTATAAAACGGTAGTAAATACATTTAGGCTGGAAATTGGGAGAGTTTCTGATTATCAGAGCAGTGAACTGTAAAACAACATCCTGGGAAGGTAGATTGAGCAAAGTATTAAGGGATGTTAGGATGGCTCTTGGCAAGGGAATGAACTGCGGCATTTTTTTGTCCCTGCAAACGGGAACAAGAAGCAGACTCAGTGATCTAGCAATCCCCTTGCAGTACTTTGTTCCTAGATGGTATCATTTCTTTAAATGGTTATAAAGCCAATCTGTTAACTGCTAACAACCTACTATTTTCAGAAAAGAACATCAAGACTCTTCCAAATAAACCTATACATAAGTTTACAAGTCTTTTTCCTTTTCTTGACTTGAATCCAGCTTACAACTCTATAAAATGAGATGAGAACACCTGTGAATGTTAAAACTAATGGGTCTTTCAAATCCTTTGGCAATCTCTAGTGTAAATTGAGGGGATCCAGCTGCTAAGTAAGGAAATATTTTCCACTCAGAGATTGTTTAAAAATGGTCAGGAGATTAAAGTAAGAATGAACCTGTTCCGAAGGATATATGTTAATAGGCCTGAAAGTCGTGTCCTGCAACATCATTTGTATATATATATATAAAAATAAAAAAAATAACTAAAAATAGCAAAAGAACATGGAAAAATATCAATATAGAAATACAGATCCATTAAAAATGTTCTGGTACATGCCATGCAGGTTACTCTAAAATTAGAAGAGCTTATCACTATAAACATATCTACTGGAGCAAATTAATTGTCTTTGAACAGACTCCGCTGGCTTCAGTGGACGTGCAGTGAGCCTCCCTGTTGTGCTTCTGTGTACCTAGGAGAGGTATAAGTCACTTTGCAAATGCTGATGCTATAAAATACTTGGCAGTGCAGTTCTGAGTCTTACTCAAGGAATGAGCCTGATTCAAGAGTAATTCTTGTTTCATAGGAAGAAAATGAAGTTACTGTGGAAAACATAGCCAACGCATGAAAAAGTACAGCAAGAACTGAAAGTAGATCTCTGGTTAAATTTAAATAGCAAAGTTCTGCAGACATGATTCGATGGGCAATGAATTCTGTAATTCAGTCCTCTAACGGGAATAGGATTGAGTGTATGATGAATGTAGATGTCTCCTAAATGCATCTGATACTGATTACTGACTTCGGAGTCAGCAGCTTCTTTTTATTTCAATAGGAATATTAAACTATTTATTAATCTACTGAAGATCTTAATATTGGGCATATAGCTAAATCTGGAATAAGGAAAGCACAGATTTACCTCTATATTTCAGGAGGACTGTATCATAAGGCAGTGTGCTAATTTTCTGTTCCACAGTCCAAGGTCCCAGCTTCATCTTGCCTCCTTGGTCCTTACAGAGTCTCATGAGATTGGCTGTTAAATGAAAGTGAAACTCTCATTTCTCTTTCCACCATCTCACTCCACTGATTTTAATCAAGTATCTTGAAAAGGTCTTTAGTGTGTCCCCTCTTGATTTTTGGTCCTGACTGAACAAGGTGATTGAAGCATGTGCCTAATATGTTCTTGACTGTGCCTGTTGAGCTGAATGAAACAATTAAGTAGCTTGCATGACTGATTACGTACTTTGAACACAATGTCTCACGCTTTTCTCAAAGGCAACTTCCAGCATTAATGGCAATGAGTTATCGGTTTAGAAAAATGGAGTTGTGAGGTGAAACTAAGCAGCTCTGCCTCAGAGCTGCAGAAAAACAATGATATATTAAAAAAGTCTTGGTGTGAGACGTTCATTTGTAACACAGAATTGAGCTACAAAATTAGGGACATGGAGAATTGTAACATAGAGTTGAGACAGAAAACTATAAGTGCAGCCTAATATTCTAGCAAGGACAAGGCAATAGCAGGTAAGGCTAAAGGCTTATTTGTGCTACATGCAGAATTATGAAGTTGGAGAAGTCAAACTGTTCTGAATAAGTGAAAAAAAAAATCTCACAATACTTTAGACTGTACAGGAATCACAGTTAAGCAATACCTAATGTGCTCCTGATATTTAAGTGGCAGTTCCTGTAGATCCTCTTACAGAGATTCAGAATTCTATTGTGCCAGAAACTTTACTTCCACAAAGTGTTTCAAAATATAGTTTTCCCACAAACCAGACACTAAAATTGTTCTCTGTGTTTTTTTTTCCTTTCAACTATTAAATAATCTAACTTCTGCATGTCTTGTTGCTTCATTTACAGATGACTGATACCTGTATCAAATACTTGGCTGCAGCCTGCCATTATCTCCACTTCCTGGATGTCTCGGGTTGCGTTCATCTTACTGACAAAGCACTGAAATATCTTTGGAAAGGTTGTAAGCAACTCCAGATTCTCAAGATGCTGTACTGTAGAAATATTACCAAGTAAGAGGATATTTCCTAATCTTAATTTAGAGATGGTTGTAAACCCAAACCCATGATTTTTTTTCTTCATTGGCATCGTGGTGCCGTGCTAGGTGCCTGGCTTGAGCCATCTTGCTCCTTCATCTAGGGAGTATCCACATTGCTGCCTTAGCATTCCTGTGGCCTTGTGGGCATCTACATATTCTAGGGTCAGCCAGAAGTGAAGAGAAATAGGGATCCCTTCTATCTTTATGGCAGATAATGTCTTCGTTGGGCAGTTTCTGCAGACACAGGGTATCAACTTAAGGGCACACGGGAACATGAGGGAGAAAAACCAGGCTGGGCCTAATGTTCTCAACCACTGCACTGTGTACTTGAGCTCACTCTGAGGGTTTGTGGGAGCTTGTTTCCTGATGATGGAATGTCAGCATACAGCAGAAGCAGATGTGGGCCTGTGCTCAAAACCCAGCATGGTTACAGCAAATGAGTCAAGGATACTTGTTATGTATCTACAATTGGAAAAAACAGGTCGTTTTACCACAATGTAATGCAACTCCCCCACTGGTATAAATGGACCAATGTCCTGATTTCCCATCATATTTAAAAGCCAGTCAGTTCTGGACAGGTTTAGAATAACAGAATACCCGAGTTGGAAGGAACCCATAAGGATGTTCAAGTCCAAGTCCCTGCTCCTCACATGACTACCCAAAACTAAACCATATGATTATGTCATCCAGATGTTGAACTCCGACAGGCTTGATGCCATGACCGCTTCCCTAGGGAGCGTGTTTGAGTGACTGACCACCCTCTCCATGAAGAATCTTCCTAATGTCCACTCTGAACTTCCCTTGATACAGTTTCAATCCATTTCCTTGTGTCCTGTTGCTGGTCACCAGACTGGAGATCGGCACCTTCTCCTCCCCTGCCTGCCTTGAGGAAGTTGTAGACTGCAGTGAGGTCACCTCTCAGACTTCTTCAAGCTGAACAACTCAAGTGACCTCAGGCACTCCTCACAAGTCTTGCCCTCAAGGCTTTTCACCATCTTTATCACTTTCCCCTGGATACACTCCAATAGTTTGATGTTCTCCTTATATTGAGGCACCTAAAACTACACACAGATGTGAGGTGAGGCTGCACCAGTGCAGCGTGGAGTGGGACAATCACCTCCCTTGCCCAGTGAGCGATGCTGTGTTTGCTGGATCTCAGGACACAGTTGGCCTTTCTGGCTGCCAGGACACACTTTTCACTCATATTCAACTTGTCACCAACCCAACCCCCCAAGATCTGTTTCTGTGGGGCTGCTCTCCAGCCTCTCATCCCCCTGTTTGTACATATAACCAGGATTATCCCACCCCAGGTGGAGAATCTAGCACTTGCTCTTGTTAAATTTCATACAGTTGGTGATGGTTGAGTTCTCTTGACTGTCCAGAGCTCTCTGTAAGGCTTCTCTACCCTTGAGGAAGTCCACAGCTCCTCCTAATTTGGTATCATTGGAAAACTTACTTAATGTACATTTAATTCCTGTGCCCAGATCATTTATAAAAACATTAAAAAGCACTGGCCCTAAAACTGAGCCTCGGGGAACCCCACTGACAAGTGGCTGCCAGCCTGATGTAACCCCATTTACTATAACTCTTTGAGCTCAACCTGCCAGCCAATTGCACACCCAACGTATTAGGGACTTGTCAAGCTGTCTGCTGGACAGTTTATCCAGAAGGATACTATGAGAGACAATATCAGAAACTTTGCTAAAATCCCAAACTGCCACATCTACCTTGATCAGCTAGATGGGTGACATTGTCATAAAAGGAAATTAAGTGGCTTAAGCAGGACTTTCCCCTCATGAACCTGTGTTGGTTATGACCAGTGACTACATTGTCTCTCAAGTGATTTTCACTAACTCCCAGAATAACTTTACCATAATTTTACCAGGCACTGAAAGGGGACTGACAGGTCTGGAATTACCAGGGCCTTCCTTCTTACCCTTCTTGAAAACTGGGAGAGTTGAGTTTTGAGCTGAATGAGCTGTGAATCTCATTGAAGCTGTGGCTTCACTGTCCATCACCCTTCCATGGGGGTGAAGATCATCATAGGTGCCATACAGCTAAAACTGCACAGTGGCCAGGCTCATCAAAGGGACTGAAACTGGAAAAGAACTGAAGTTTAATCGTGGTTGATATATCTGAGCATATTACTTCATCAGACTTTGTGAGAGTAAGAACTATATAATGCTATCTTATATAGAGAGTGTTCATACTTGGAAGGCTCTAACCCCATTCTAACAGGACCACTGTAGACAGCACACTCCCTGCTAAACCGTTCCGGGGTTTAATAGTCACTTTAGAGATCACAAGATCTATGCAGATGCTTAGTAACTTAAAAGATATTTCCAGTGTGTTTCATGCTTTCCAAACCCTCCTTGGTTTATTTCCCTCTGTCGTACCATAAACAATTCTGCTGTCATTACTTTTATTTTCTTTATTTCTCTCTGACTTAGTTTTTTTAATGGCATCTCAGAACATCCTTCTTAAACACCTACTTTCAATTAAATACTATTAGATGTAGAAAGTGTTTTGAAGGATTGGTATGCCAGAGTAGTAATTGGTATGTAAGAGTAGTAATTGAAAAAAATATTGCAAGTTAACTACACTGTACTTTCTGAAAAGACATATTCCAACACATTTAATCTCCTCATAACTGATTTACAGTTTTTCTTATATTCTCACAGGCTTTTCTTTTACCCCTGAATTACTGTTGGTGCTTTTTCTGTGACTTCAAGTCTCTGTTTAGAGCAGCAAACAGTGTATTGTCCCTTTCAGGCTCAGATTCCTTATACATCTTCCTGTAGAAGTGAGATGTAGTAGGAACAGTAATTTCTGCAAGTTCCAATTTACCTTAGGTGAGCCGTGATCAAAGAGCTGCCAGGACTTCTCTAAAAATCGTTTGCATTACTATAGCCTTTGTGGGATGACCCAGGATTATGCCTCTGCCTCAGAGTCCCGTATGCAACGGGTTCTCCAAATGTCTTGATTAAACTCTTCTGACTCAGCCAAGGAATTTCACAATCAGTTATTTTTACTGTAAAGAAAGCCCTGGAGAGCTATGGATCTTTGCAAAACAAAAAAGCAACCATGAGATACCCAGTGTTATCTTTGCCCTTTTTGTGATTTTTTTTTTAGAACTAGGCATACTTTGCTTATTTTACTTTCTTGAACATGATTTTCTGGTATGTAGCAGTAGAGGGGTCTTTTCTTTGGCAGACTCAATCTCTGACCCTTTGCACCACACATTCAGTGAAAGAGACACCCAGCCTCAGGAGCCAGGAGACAGGGAGGGCAAGCAGGATGAGGTCATCACAGCTAAAGAGGAAATGACTGGTTACGCCACTTAGATGCACACAAAGCTATGGGGCCAGAGGGGTTACATCCAAGGGTGCTGAAAGAGCTGGCAGATGTTCTCCCCAAGCCACTTTCCATTATTTACCTGAAGTTCTGGCTAACCGGAGAGGTCCCAATGGACTGGAAGGTAGTAAATCTAACACCCATCTACAAGAAAGGCAGAAAGGAGGATCTGGGAAACTATAGACCTGTCGGTCTGACCTCGGTACCAGGGAAGGTCATGGAGCAGATCATCTCGAGTGTCATGACATGTCATATAGAGGACAATCAGGGGATCAGTCAGCATGGTTTATGAAAGGCAGGTCCTGCCTGACAAACCACATCTTCTATGATGACATGACCCAACCATTGGACAAGGGAAAGGCTGGGGATGTTGTCTACCTAGGTCTTCAAAAAACCTTTGACACTGTTCCCCACAGAATTCTCATGGAAAAACTGGCTGCTCATGGCTTGGATGGACACACAATCTGCTGGATCAAGCACTGGCTGAATGGATGGGCCCAAAGAGTGGTGGTCAATGGAGTTAAATCTAGCTGATGACCAGTCACAACTGGTGTTCCTTGGGGCTCAGTGTTTGTACCATTTCTGTTTAACATCTTTATTGATGATCTTGATAAGGACATAGAGTGCATCATCAGTAAGTTTGCAGGTGACACCAAGTTAGGTGGGAGTATTGATTTGCACGAGGGTAGGGAGGCCCTACAGAGAGTCTTGGACAGGTTGGATCGATGGGCCAATGTTAACGGTACGAGCTTCAACAAGGCCAAGTGCCAGGTCCTGCATTTGGGCCACAACAACCTCATGCAACGCTACAGGCCTGGGGAAGTGTGGCTGCACAGCTGTCTGGCAGAAAGAGACCTGGGGGTCCAGTTTTGGGCACCTCAACCCAAGAGAGATCTTGAGGGGCTGGAGTGAGTGTAGAGGAGGGCGATGGAGCTGGGGAAGGGCCTGGAGAATAAATCTTATGAAGAACAATTGAAGGAGCTGGGGCTGGTTATTTTGACGAAGAGGAGGCTGAGGGGAGACCTCCTCACTTTCTCCTTTTACCTAAAGGGACATTGTAGAAATGTTGGTGCTGGTCTCTTCTCACAGGCAATTAGTGATAGAACAAGAGGGAATGGCTTCAAACCGCAACAGGGGATGTTCAGCCTGAAGAAGAGGAGGCTAATGGGAGACCTCATCACTCTTTAGAACTTCCTGAAAGGATATTGTAGAGAGGTTGGTGCTGGTCTTTCCTCACATGTAATTAGTGGTAGAACAAGAGGGAACGGCTTCAAACTGCAACAGGGTAGGTTTAGACTGAACTTTAGGAAAAAAAATCACAGAAAGAGTAGTCAGCCATTGGAACAGGCTGCCCAGGGAGGAGGTTGAGTCACCATCCCTGGATGTATTTAAAGGTTGTTTAGATGTGGTGTTGGGAGATATGGTTTAAGGGCGAGCTTTATAGAGTAGGGTTAGTGGTTGGGCTCTTTGTGAGTGACATGGACAATGGCTTTGAATGCACCCTCAGCAAGTTTGCTGATGACACCAAGCTGTGTGGTACAGTGGACTCGCTTGAGGGAGGGGATGTCAACCAGAGGGACCTTGACAGGCTTGAGAAATGTGTCAGTGCAAACTGCATGA